AACGCACGTCTATTTGGACTAATAAGTGTGCACGTGCAACACGCGTCTATTTGGATTAACACATTATATTATACTTAATACAAGACAATTTATTCATAAATTTGAAATTTCCCTATAAAGTACACAATCTCTTATTCCCAACTCATACAAATAATTTGAAATTTCGTTTCTCCTTAATCAACATGTCTCCTGTATTAAAAGACCACCCATTTTTCCCAATGTCTAAAACTCAAAATTATTTAGAAGATTCATCATGATTCTCCATATGCACACATTTATGCAAGTATAATCACACATGAAAAAGTCACTTAGGACAAGCTAAGGAACCGTTTCAGTGCTAACAAACTCCAGTTAAGAATTATTATTACAATTGAGTGTCAACCACACAATAGCGGGAAGAGACCTCTATGATTTGTTGAAAAGAGGAAGCCATTGTCACATAGAGAAGTGTAGAGATGTCTTGACTGCATAGAATCAGCTGTGAAACAAGACAAAAAAAATGCTAGTTGGACCATCCAATTCTACTATTACACCACAAGTGTTGTAATGTCTGGAAGCAAGAAAAGTGGCTTACTTTATTATGAAAATAGAACATGTAAACCAAATAAAAATTACATTGATAAATTGCGTAATTATACTTGTTAATCACGGGACAAAAGCATTAATATGACAACTTGGAACAGTTACTTGAGTACTACACATTTTTTTAAGGGCTCAACATTCTAAAATTTTGACAATATAACAAATATCCTCTCAGTTTGTAGTAATAATGATACGTAGGCTACCACTTGTAAGAATAACAGTGGCAAAAAAGGGCCAACAAATGCCGGTTTAGAAAGAAAAAACTGCAGATATGCTTCCAATTTTAGCAACTCTAGTGGATAAAACATACCTTACCTCCCAAGTCGGGAAAACAGTCAAATGAAAAAATGTACTTCTTATAAGTAGTAGAGATGAAGTCATAAGGATCATGGTTCAAGATATTCGGAGAAACATGGTTGGTCTCTCTGTATGATGCGAAGTCGTTGCAGTCAGTAGAAGAGTGACCTGCCCTCCAGGCAGAAGACGAAGGCGGCGACGGCATGTGTGCGTGTTCGGAGGAAGTCGCAGCTCCTCTTCGCATGTCTCCCATTGTGGCTCGCGTGGGTGGTGGGCTGGTGACGACAGGCGACTCGCGATCGCGATTCCCTCATAGGAGACGATAGGATGCACTCGCGATTAGTTTCCTAATAATTAGATGCGTTCGTGATTAGTTATCTAATAGGATGCGTCCGTGATTAGTTTCCTAATAATTAGATGTGTTCATGATTAACTTCCTAATAGGATGCGCTCGTGATTATTTTCCTAATAATAGAATGCACCCGTGATTAGTTTCCTAATAATAGGATGCGTTTGTGATTAGTTTCCTAATAATTAGATGCGTCCGTGATTAGTTTCTTAATAGGATGTGTCCGTGATTATAGTTTCCTAATTGACCAGGCGTGGACTTCATATTTTCCTCCACGGTGGAGTACGGTCAGTCAATGTAAATTGCTAAGTGCACACAGAGAACAGATTAGGTTAAGGCTAGCCGTTAGATTGAGTTTAGTGGGATAATCATGCGGTGGTAATGTATCCGTGTACGTTTTGTGGGGTGCACTTAAAAAAAAGAGTGAATTCCGTTTTTTACCCTTTATTTTAACTTTTTTGACACTAATTACCCCATTTAGCGAGATTTCATTCATTTTACCCCATTTAGCAAAAGTATTGCCATAATTTACCCTGTTTAAAATTGTGTGAGCATTCTGACCTGTGCCGCATAGAGCATAACTTCTTCCGACCGGCTCGGCACAATGGAGGTCACTCACATCACGTCCAACGCACAACGCCCGAGTCGGCCGCGCGCCATGCTCACCTCCATTCGCTTCTAGCTTGTGTCGCCTGCCCCAATCGATTGCATTGCCTGTCCAGGCTTCCGACCGAATGCACCTGTCAGGCTCGCTCGAACCTAGTGTTAGATATTGTCAGGCATCGGCGATGGCGACACCGACCGGTGGATTCTCATGGCTCCATCAAGCTCCCCGACATTGGGCTAGGCACGTCCATTTACGTGAACCGCTGCACTGAATCTTCTTCTTGCTTTGGTGACATCAGGACCAAACATGCAAGCAGCTAGACAAGGAAGCTAGCACACATGGATTGATGAACAATGCCACATGCGCATGCACGCGTAGGTGAACCTGGGCTTTGCACTAGCGCTACATCCGATCGGTCGATCACGATGCCGTCGGCAGAACACTGCGTAACTTGGCGATCGATGGAAGAAACTCTGATCGATAGATTGCAACAGGCTATAGTCTCGAGCCTCACATTTCTTTATTGCTTTGATCTGGTGATATTAGAACGTGGTGTGCAAAGATATATATAGCACCTAGCCCTAGCCAAACTAAGCCTATACGTATCCCATGTGAAGACTGCCTCCTGCCCTAGTCGGACATGGGCATCGTGATTTATTCCAATAACCATCAGGCTGTGCTCAGTTGATGGCGGGTCTGTGACGATGGTGCGATCATATCGGGCCTGGCCGGTCGGGAGAAGTTAGGAGGACCGGTTCAACAAGGAGAAAAATAGATAGGAAAAAATCGTCGATGTGGCATTGCTAGCTAGACCTGACAATTTGGACCCGCCAGTCAGAACAGATACAAAATTTTACGCAGGGTAAATTGTGGCAACACTTTTGCTAAATGGGGGTAAAACGGATGAAATCCTGCTAAATGGGGTAATTAGTGACAAAAATATCAAGATAGGGGGTAAAAACTGGAATTCACTCTAAAAAAAATTATGTTTGCTCTTTTATAAGTAGTATAGATATAGATATAGATTTGTTCTACGGTATATTTTCATTAATTGAAGTATGTTACAAAGGTTGGAGGAGAAAACGGAGAAACAAATAAAAAGATGCCAAAAAGGCAAGGGTCACTCTATACCAGTTTTGGAAAACATTGGGACTTTCTATTTCTGTGCCCCTGGTTTCTTAGTTGTCCTCAATTTTGCCCCGCCACTTTAACGCTCCTTGCTTTTCCCCTCGCCCCTTGGCCACGGCCTTTCAAATGCCCAGATGAAGCATTCCGTTGGGTCAAAGCCCATCATTGACCGTTACTGGGATGATGTTCTGACAAGTGGGACCTCAAGAGTGCGCCAACGACGTCGCATCCTAGCCCATGGGCTGAGCTAGTGCGGCACATGTGCGTATGTGTTTAAGAGCCTTGGCCTGTTCAACATGCGTGAATAGTGTCAAATACCATTTTCCATTTCTAATCAAACTTACAAATTCATAGAACATCCATTTCAAATCCAGTTGAGTTGATTCAAGTTCCTAAATTCATCATATCTGGAGGCCTATATAATAGCTAATTTTCATAATTATACAAGAAGCTTTTCTATGTATTTTTTATTTAAATTTTTATTTAATATATATAGGACTTCATTAGAAATTCCTAATCAATTCCCTGTTGGTCCAACTCCAGTATGATTTTTTTTATAAATCCTTATTTGACCTCATTAATTTGCATAACTATTTTCAGAGGATTGTACGTGAAAAATAACACTGAAAATATAGCTTCCAAAAGAGGCAGTTTCCCAATTTTTGTTACAATAAAAAATCATTTCTCGACTGCCAAAAGGAGGGCTTTTTGTGTGAAGTGAGTGGAACAAATATGGCAATAAAATACATCACAGTTGCAATTTAAATTTGAATTACTTTATGTAAATCTCTAGAAATAGTCAACGATTTGGCATAAGTTCAAATTTGGCCATCTACTGGGCTGCCAGGTGTGTTACACCGTTTTCCTTTTCAGTTGCACGTGCTTCACCGCAGGGAAGCACACTTGGCTTCGCGGAAAGGCGGAAAGCACACATATGCTCTACCCGTGTGTCCGCGCTTAGGGTGGATCGCACATGTGTTGTGTCGCGGGAGCACATTAGGAAGCAACATGTAGTGTGCTCTCGCGCGACTTATGCGTGGCAGTTACAAGGGGTACCCCCTAACTAGTTCTCAATTGTTGACTGTCAAGGTTAAGACCCAAGGTATTAGCGAATCAACCTATGGTTGAGTTGGTTAGGTGGACAGTGGTATCCCCAATCCACCAGGGTTCAAATCCTGGTGCTCGCATTATTCCTGGATTTATTTCAGGATTTTCGGCGATGCGCTTTCAGTGGGAGGAGACGTTCCCGTCGACGACGAGGCGCCTACGGTGACTTCGTAAATCTCAAGATGATATGCCGGCTCAGTCTCTCGGAGGTGCTCATAGGGGTAGGGTGTGCGTGTGTGCGTTCATAGGGATGAGTGTATGCGCGTGTATATGAGCGCTTGTGTCTGTACTGATGCTAAAAAAAAAAGACCCAAGGTATTAAATTAAAACTTAAATAGTGCCGTTTGAAAATGAAATTGGGATGATGCGTTGTTATTGTGGGCCAGATAGTTAGATGTTGGTGCAAATATAGTTGTTAACGGTTAAAGTTAAATCTGAAAGTGCTAAAACTGCAACTGGAATAGTAGCCGTCTGAAAATGGACGTATGATACGTTGGTGCAAATATTCATATTCCAACTGTTAACTGCTGAAGTTAAAACTGAATGTACGATATGTTGGTGGAAACATTCATGTTCAAATCGTTAACAGTTAAAGTTAAAACTGAAACTGGAGTAGTAGCCGTTTGAAATTGGAACTTGTATGATGTGTTGAAAGTGGCGCGGGAACAAAAAATGTTCCGTCGCCGGGACTTGAACCCGGGTCTCTCGGGTGAGAGCCGAGTATCCTAACCACCTAGACTACGACGGATGGTGATGAAGTTCTGAAAATATCGCTAGTGGTTGTAGGAACAACATTCGCTAATAAGCTTCGGATATGGCTACGTAATGTTTCTTTCAGACATACAATCCAGGCACACAGAATAATACTACAATCTACAATAGTACGTATAGTAATTATCTTTATGGTTTCCTTCCACTCGAGCTACTTCTTCATATGATTGAGTGTTTGCTGGGCTCCAGCAGGAGATCGAACGAGGTGAGGGAGTAAGGGCTCACTGACACGCCCATCTGCTGCTTGGCGTCGGCCACCGGGCTCGACACCGGCGCCACCTGCAGCATTCCAGCAACACGGTTGCAGAGTCAGCAAACACCAGAGCTAAACAGCTACAGCGAGCAATTTACCACCATGAGGTGCTGACCTTTTCTGGCTGTCCGAACGAGTTCTCGTCGAGCGGCGCCGCGGATGTCAGCACCGTCTTCTTCGAGCCGGAGCTCTTGATGCCGCTCTCCAGTCCCGTGACCGTTATGTTGAGATCCACGGCTTTGCTGCCGAAGTTTACGACCTGCGAAAGGGTTGTTGTGTGTGGTCATTTTTGTCTTGTAATAAGGTTGGTCAGCAGAGTTTTCTGACTGAAATTTGGAAGAACAAAATGGGAGCACCTTTATTTTCAGGTAAGTGCTCTTGTCTTTAGGACTCTGCCAGGTGATGGCAGATGCAACCATCTGGTCATAGTTGGAGACCTGCATGGTTGTGGGGTGAAAGGTTGCGCCGCTCGAGTCCTTGAAGAAGTGCAGCATCCAGTAGTTTGGGCATCCGTAGTGCTGCCATGAGTTGAACACAATGGCATCTGGGCTCCACCTGTGGAGGGAGCACATAATATCTTCTGTGTTGATTATCCAAATACACGGCATGATCGAGGCTGGCAAACCATACCGAATCTGAAACAATGCTCTCAAGATGTTGAATCTTTACCTGCGATCGTTGTCGTTTACAAACAGCGGTGCGCAGCTTGCCATCTCGACCACATCACTGCAGTAGAACAATTAAGGGGCAAAATATCAAAGTTTGCGGTGCAAGTGTGCAGCCCACCAGCAATTCAAATGGCAGAGTGCCCAGACTTGTTGGGACAGTTAGGCATTATACTCTAGCATTTGATGTCAAAACCCCGATTTGTACATGGTCTTAATTATTGGTATCATGAACCAGATTTAGTACCCAGGGGCAAAAAAAACAGTACAATGAAAAACCAGTAAGAGCACACATAATAACCTGTTCTTCTCTAATCCAACGAGAAATGCAGCTTCTGCGAGTGCTGCTACCAGTGTTCCTTTGCCAGCGTCGTTTCCAGTCACGGCGTACTCACTAACAATTGCCTACAGTTTGACGGTGATTCCACAAGTCATTTCTAGGTCAGAGACTTGGCACAGAACATCACAGATGTAGCATGTCAGGATAGCATTTGGAATTTCGAAACATACTACCTTTGGTCCGCTGCGTGGTGTGTTGTCAAACATACTAGTTCTCGAAAACATATTAGCAGAAGATGCATAGACCTGCAGCAGAAATGAAGTTTTTATCAATTATTAAGGTTAATTTATGATAGCAAGCCACGAAACATAATAGAGGAACCTTACATGAACATCATATAGATCGGCAGGGTTGGATGCTGAAATAGTTGACTTATCACAGCTTGATATAATGTTGATGTCTGGGTAGGCAGCTTTAATCGCAGAATAGAACTTTTGGTAATTGCCTATTAATCCAAGTAAACAGGTAGTATGAGCTTTCCTGCTTTATCAATAACATTAAAAAAAAGAGTGCAATATCTTTGTGCACCCTTACACTAAGCAGAGAAGCAAGGTTGCAGATACAGGAGTTATCCATAGCAGAAAAATAAATAGAAGGCAATCTATGAACTATGATCCTAAGTCACATGATTGAAATTCTATGCAATCATGACATACATAGAAATCTCTTGATCATGTACAGATTTGTGAACCTAGGAATGAAGGATATAAAACTGAAATACAAGCAGAGGACGGGGCACTCCCCTTTTGGGGAAAAAAACTGAACTACAAACCTCTGTAGTAGAGCATCCAGCATTCTTGATTCCCTATTGAAACATAATCAAGCTTAAAGGGCTGTGGATGTCCCATTGCCGCACGAACTGAACCCCATGTAGTGTTGGCGCCTCCCCTTGCAAACTCGATGCCATCAACAACATCCTGAAATACTACAAGCATGAAAAAAATGCAGGGAGGGCCAAGAAGGTGGTAATGATACTGGTATAAGAAATTTATTCATTCAATTAATTCAGAAAAAGTGTTGAATTAAGACCATATAAAAACGCCTCGGTATGTTTACCAACTAATTTTTTTTCTTGGCGTCAACATGAGGATGGTATTCATAATTAAGAACATTACATGTCGTAATAAATTTTGTGGTAGCAACTGAACCATGGTGCTTGTGGGAAATATAATCGCAATATAATTCATGTAGCTTGCAAACACAGCTGCTAAATTAGGTTAATATATTCTTAAAATCGATGACCTATTATGCAAACCAGTTGTCCTCTCTATTTTTTATGTCTTATACTGTTGTACCCATAGTTCCTCGTAGAACAAGTTCACGTTGCCTATTGTTTGTGAGGTTGGACATCATATATTGTTTTCAAATAAAAGAGGAGAGCACATATGCCGTCAAACTAAATCAGAGATTTCAGTTTGTGCATTACGTTATCCAATCAGCTTTTCTTTCCTTTATCAACTGACAATATAGTATTGAAGAACATACCTTAACCAGAGATGCAATTATTGCAGTAGGAACTTCTTCATTAATGCTTGCTCCTGCAGTACTCACAAGCATTTCATAAGACAGATCAAGTGTTTGCTAGAAGTCGTACATGTATACAGACTGAACATACCATCATTCACCACCCAAACAGGGGAAGCACCAAGGTCTTCAGCTAACTGCAGTAAATAAATATCAATATCAACTTATGAAATGTACTCACTGGAGAAATTTTAGTGTTTTAGAGTCAAAGACTGTGTCTGTGTTCCATTTACCTGAAGGAACTCAAAGAATCCAAGCCCATCGTCAGTCCAGTATCCCCAGGCATCATTGACATGGCCAGGTCTTTCCTCCCATGGACCCACAGTTTCGCCCCAATGAAACGCGTTTCTTAGATAGTTTCCCATGGCGTAGTTACCGCCTAAAATACGTTTGATTTATCCCATCAAAATCATGTAATGATATAACTTGACCTTGGATGTAACAACTGCAAATATGACAGACCTGGAAACTTGAGAAACTGGGGCTTTAAATTGGCCAACATAGAAGCAAGATCCTTCCGAAAACCATGTCCCTATGAAGAAAACATGTAATGAATAAAAGTTCAAACATGGTACAGGTAAAAACATACATAGTGTTCATTCTCATTGCTTTCTTCAACAGAAAGAAAATTAGAAGAAAAAGAAAAAGGAAATCTAATCAAAAGGAAGAGAAACAAACACAAAGAAGGCTTACCATGTAAGTGTCTGATGGCATAACCGACACTTGATCGAGCCAGACCACCCCAGTTTTAGTGGTTGTAATTTGAAGCCTTGAATTAGTGTTGTTTTGGCTGGAATACAAACGAAACTGTATCTTTGTCCATTTGGCGAATTGTTTCTTGCCACCCCTGAAAGCACCAGGGGAGTGCATGTCAGAAATACGCAAAGAGAAATGCAGCATCTCTGATAAATTGACGATGGCATAACATTACGTGATGGTGCGAGAAGCGAGTTTGTGCAGACCGTCAGAGCTTGCCAAAGAAATGGTCAAGGAAACTGCATCTGAAGACCTAATGTGCAGGCTCACCTTATAACCCTTCCTTCTTTCAATGTTCTGGAAAGACAAAATCAATATGAGGCAAACTTGTAATGAGTTCCATTTCATTTAAAAGGATAATAATGCATTTCAAACCAAATTGAAATTGCCTCATACGATCCGCAATATTGTACACCGAAATATGTTGTATTTCTTTCGAAAACAATTCAACATTTTTTATATGCAGACATATGAAGAAAAGAAATACCATACCATGCCCCAGTAACCAGGATTGTAGACCCCAACCCCTCCGGATGGGCAGACATTAGTTCCTTTAGAACCACAAAGAACTTCCATTCGGAGTGCGACCGGGTTACGTTCGAAACAAGATGTCCGATCGGTTCCCACGATGATGCTTGATTCATTTCCAATTATGAACCATGGGTCGATGTTTGATGGTGTATTAGGCCCACCGGCCTCAAAACCTGGAAGTAATTTTGTCAGGGTATACACAACACTGAGCAAGGAAAAATGTAAGTGCAGAATGGACCCTTTGACTCATTAACACATATCCTGACAATTAAGGTTTCCTTACCTCTGTTGCTCACAAGCTCTGCCCACAACCCACCAGCACCAGCATGGTTGATCTCCTACAGATAAAACCAAAAAATGATTTGAATTACTTATTGTTGTCGAGTTTATCCTCTTTGCAGCAAAATAAAAACCATTTTTCCAAGATCCAACTTTTTTGACCCGAGGCAAACTGCATCAGAGCTGCACTCTGTAATCCTATGAGATTCAGTTAACCAATATATCTGCATATATAGTTTAAACTGTAAGCAAATAAAATGGCCTTACTGAACGAGAGAAATGCTTATGCAAAGTTTTACCAGCTGGCTAGTACAAACTTGAACAAAGAGCGCAAAGTTTTCAGCAATGGCAGTTTGACAAGCAATTTACCAAGAGACTCTTATTCTCACCTCAAAAAAGATGCCGAACATCTTGTCAGGCATCTTCCTCGCAGTCTGCGGCGAGGCGTCCACGCTCAGCTGCCCGGCCTGTCCCGCCACGAGCCTAACAGAGGATGATGCCCAGCACAAGGCACACACCACTACCAGCACACAACGGAGCCAATGACCGGCATACACCCTCGGCACGGCCATTGTGCTCATCTAAACTGAACCCGTAGCTCAAATCAAAGAATAGAGTACTGAATCCACAGCCTACCCATATATATAGCACAGGCTATCGCTCATGCAACCAGTGGCTAGAAGCGTACTGCGTCAAGCAACCAGCAATTTGAGTAAAAAAGGCAGTCCCACGAGTGGAAGCAAAGCTAGCCGAGAAGGCATCCAATCGACGAGGGACGAAGATGGGCACGGATGGGGACGTACGTCAGTATTCTGTTTGAAGCTTTACTCCTCCGTTTTTGCACATCACATCGCGGGGAAGCAAGAAGCAACCGAGTACGTGCGTGCTCTCATTGCCGTTGATGAATCAGTGGCAGCTACTCTTGCTGTTGACGATTATCCGCAAGTGCTCACACTGGAGGCGAGGTCTGCAGAAATAGAAATGGTGGCCGAAAATAAACAGAGACAGCGGCTCGGTGCGTTCTTGAGTACAGTTGAAGCCAAAGCAAAGAATATGTGTGTGTTCATCTTGGGGTCGACTCTTCTCCTAAATGGGGAATCCAACAGCTCGATGCAGAAAAGATCTGCCCGGGTGCGGGGCTCTCTAGGGTTGCGGCGACTCACCGGCGTCGGGGCCGCGGGAGGACGTGGGGGGCCGGCGAAGAGGTATGCGGGAGGAGCGGCCGGCTCTTCGAAGGGGCATGCGGCGCGGGCGGCGAAGGCGGGGGGCGTCGCCGCATCGCCGTCGGCGGGGAGGCGAGCGTCGGGGGATTTCGCCATTCGGTTGGCCGTTTGAGCTTAGCTGAAACTTGAAAGATTTCATTCCTTAATATTCTTTTCGCGGGAAAGCTATGGATTTCTCAGAATAATGCTTCAAACTCACTCCAGTGTGGGAAAAAAAAGTCTAGGTAGGAGAATATTAATTGTTGCTATCTTCGTTCTGGTGAAACATCGAAAGTATTTTCATCAAGTTGAAGCTTTTAAAATCACATTCAGAGGTTTCTAAATATTGGTCTTTTATATTTCATTAAAATAAATCATCACTAAGAAATTGATCCAGACATCCGAGTTAGTCCAGAGCGCGTAGAGATACTATCTTAATTGGACGACTATCACTACATGACGAAGAATTAAGTTGACTGAGGCATAGTCACTCCTTTTAAATTTTATTAGTACACCATTTGCATATTTTCTGATCACAAATTTTTGTCATGTAAAAGATGTAAAATGTTTTTGAAAGTTGTTTCCTCAACCCTTCTTTTCTATAAATTGCTAAAATAAGATCGGTCGAGCGACTATCAGTCGCGAACAAATTGCACAGTCCTATCTTATGAGAATAATTAATAAAGTGGCCGTATGCATCGCACAGATGCAGAGGCCGGGGGTCATCCTCGACGGAGGAGCTAGCTAGCTAGCTCCTAGATTGATTCGGGATTTGGCCGCTCCGTGCGCTTGGTATTTGGCTGTTTCGTGCGTTGTTCGTCGGCTTCGTAGGAGCGAGCTAGTTGATCGTGGACATAGGCGAGAGGAAAGAGAAGACGCGAGAAAAAATATAAACGAATATTCACTTTTACAGTTTAAGTTTGAGGGGTTTGTTCGGCCGCAGCTCAAACCGACCCTTAAAACGCGTTTTCCACGAACTGTTTTCAGTTCCACGGTTTAAGGGGTCTGCTAGAGATGCTCTAAGGCCATCTCCAACGCCACCCTCAAACCTTCGTAACCGTCCGGACCGCGCTGTCTGGACTGCATAAATCATCTAACGTGGTTCTATATCGGTTCGCGGTCCGAACGCGTTTTCTCCCGCAAACCAGAGACAAACGTGAGGGAGGTTTGCGGGAGTCTGGGCCGATCCCAAGCCCGCTTTTGATCGCCCTGGCCCACCAAAAGCCCCTCCTCCCTCCCGCGCGTTTTCGGTCAGCGTCGCTCCAGAGCGTCAGCACCCGCATTCATGCCCGGCCAGAGAGGACGTTACCGCTCACCGGCGACGGCATGAAACGGCGTGTCGACCGAGAGAGTGCCGCCTGCGCCGCTTCCCGATGCAGGCGACTGCCACGTGTTCAAACGACATAGTGGCCGCCCATCCGTCCGTCTGCCGCCCGCATTGACGGCACGCGGTTGCCGAGGCATCTCCTCAGGCTCCACCCGTCTGTCCCTCTGCCGCCCACCAGTGCTATGTAAACCGCTGCCCCGGTGCCCCGGCCATAGCCATAGTCATCCCTCTCCACACCACTTCCCATCATGGATCCCTCCGCCGCCAAGGCTCTCTGGGACGGGCTGACGTCAGAGCAGAAGAAGGAGATGGGCGCCATTGCTGCCAACTGGCAGACCGACAGGCAGCCGGAGGACACCTGCGATGACGGCGTGCAAATGAAGGATGCCTCCTCCGACGAGCTAGCACCACCGTCCTCTTCCTCCGCTCCACCCTCGCTGGTGCATTGCACCATGCCAACGGCGAGACATGTGCCCATTGTATGGACATGGTGCGAGAGAAGCGGGAGGCGCTGGCCGACGCCCACTACAACCACAACCTCCTCCAAGAGCATCTGCAGGCGGAGGAGCAGGTCGCCGCCAGCAGGGCGGTCGCGCCGGACGCGGACCTGACGGAGCAGGAGGCGTTGCTCGAGTCCTACCGCTCCGCCTACGAGATCTACCTCGCCCGCTGGCGGTACCGGCAGCGGCTGGCGACCGCCGGCAAGGAGTGCGACGACGACGCAGGCGAGGCGGTGTTCGGCGAGACCGACGAGGAGGCGTACAACTTCACTTCCCGGGCCTCCACGAAGAAGTCGACACATCCTCGGGCACCGCGGCAGCGAGGAAGAGTACTGCATGATAGGTCTCCGTCGCTCTAGTCCCATGAAGGCCATTGATGAAGTCATGTACCTAGGGTAGGGTCACAGACCTGTCTTAGGTACCCTTCCCAAGGACACCCTCAGAAGAAGCTGCCTTCCAGTCGACCAAGAGAGACCTCACTCGACTGACTCGAAGGACTCGACCATGAAGATTCACTCGACCACCAGGAGATCAAGAGCCACCCTGCATCCAAACGGTCCGTAATTAAGTAGTCTTTATGGCATTTAGGACACTTTATGTAAGACGTTACCAGTAACGCCTAGCCTCAATGTACTTTAAACCCTGCATTACTGAGGACCGGAGGGGTCTGGCAGACACTATATAAGCCACCCCCCTCCTCAGTGTAAAGGGTTCGCACCCCTGTAATCTCTACACACATAATTCAGTCGACCGCCTCCGGGCTCCGAGACGTAGGGCTGTTACTTCCTCCGAGAAGGGCCTGAACTCGTACATCCTTTGTCTTCACAACTGCTCCATAGCTAGGATCTTGCCTCTCCATACCTACCCCCCATTCTACTGTCAGACTTAGAACCATGACAGCCACCACTCCTCCCCTCCCGTCGACGCCAAGCTTGGTGGGCTGAGCATCTTCGGCCAATTAGTCGCTTGGCGGCGATGTGGAGGCGGACAACTTCACTTCCCGGGCCTCCGAAGGCGGAGGTTACGCGCCGGAGCCGGAGAGCGCCGAGGCGGAGCTCGAGACGGTGAAGCTTCAGTTCTCTTGGTTCATGGCCGGACACAGGGAACTGGCGCCGGCGACCATTTAGACCTAGTCGGACGATCTCCACTTAGTTGATATAAATGTAATGAAATCCGTCTTGTTTAAATGAAATATGTCATGTTTATATGAAATTTGACCGTGTTTATATGAAATCTGGGCGTGTTTATATGAAATCCGGTCATGTTTGATCGAATTTCGTCCGGTTAGTTTGAGTTGTTGTGAAAATGTATGCGCCTAGCATTGGATGGCGGCCTCCCGCATCCGTGTCCGTGGATGGATGCGGGAGAAAATTTGCGGGTTGCCGTTGGAGATGCCCTAAGGGGAACAAGGACCTACTAGAACTTTGGCGGTTGATGAGGCCGCAGGAGAGGAGAGAGGAGGACGATGAAAGGACATGCGGTGCCCCCATGTGTGGTTTTGGTAATTGATGACATTCTCTATGGACTAATGGTTGCATCGAGTTATATTTGAAGGATGTTTCCATAGGCATTTCTTGAAGTCCATGTGTTGGTTTCAAGGAGTTTATGGGTTGACCAAGGTGCTATTAAGGAATTATCCAAAGATTGGTCATGTGAGTGTTGAGCTTATTGCAAGCATGTCTTGAAGAATAAGATTGTGTGATCATTCATGTCCACCTTCAAGACATCATCCAAATGAAGAGAGTTGGAAAGATTCAACACACAAAGCGCACAAGATGTACCGAGGGATCAAGTGATCTCATGGTATGGTAAGCATTGTCCATTACGCTTTGTGTGATAACCCATGGTCTTTGTGAGAATTCTTTGTGGGGTTAGGTTGCGGTGTGCAAGTTCAAGTAGGATCATCACGAAGAGATCATATGCTTGAAGCTTGCCATCCATTGTGGCGACAATGGACTTGTGAAGATGTGCTGAAGAGTGGCTCACCCATAGTGGAGTATGGGGGAGCAATCTATAGTCTTCATCGAGCCAAAGCAATCAAGAAAGGTGGTCCATCTTGAGGAGGAGAAGATCGTCATCATCTAGCTCAAGTGGATCATGTGCAAGGCAAAGGTTTGCCCTTGATAGGTTTTCTATTTTACCGGTCTCACGGTAGTTGTGGGAGACCGGGTTATAGGTTTGATTGCCGTACTATCAAGGGGGGCTCTCAATGAGTTGCTTGATCGTATCGTTCGCAGAGAGCTCAAACAATTGCATCCTTGCATCATCTTTTTGGTTCTTGTTTGGTTCTTCTCCTTGTGAGATTTGGAGCTTATGGTCATTTTTATGACAAGCTCGAGTTCATCGAAAACGGAGTTCACTTGCATCTTCTATGATGTTTTCAATGTTGGAGGGTATGCCGGTTCTTCTATGTTGGAGGTTTCACTCCTTTGTTTGCTAAGCATACCTCCCCTGCCTCTTCTTACTATAACCAGTCACTGTTTTGATGCTACTCGTCTTGCTCTATCCAACAAGCTTGAGTTTTCTCAATTCGGAGCTCATATGAAGAAGTA